GAAGTCGGACGCTTAACTGACTGTGCCACCCAGGCGCCCCATATATATAATTTATTATTAAGGGCCAATGTGTTAATCACTTTATATACACTGTCTCATTATTATTTTCCATTTCACAGGTGCAGAAACTGAAAGGTTAAATTACTTGTCTCAAATCACACAACCAAAAAAGGAACAAACTACTTTGGATCGTGTCTTTAAATCTAATACCAAGTATACATTCCAGTCTTAAGACAGCTTTAGGAAGACCTAAAAATATGTTCAAGGTAAGGTTGTAGCCTTGATTTTTCTTGCCAACATTGCCCCCCTATTAGTCCTTACGTATTTTATGGTGTGTATAATCCACTTATTCTGAACTTGAGAGTAAAAAGTTGGTCACTGCAAACTTCATGAAGGCTTGTCAGCAAAATTTTTTAAAGTAGGAATCATTAGTAATATTAAACACAGGATTTGCACAGCAAAAACAGACACAATTATGTTGGGATTCAGTTTTAAAACACTTTGTAGGTTTATTTATTTTAAAGTTAATTTATTTATTTTTCGAGAGACAGAGACAACACAAGTGGGGGAGGAGCAGAGAGAGAGGGAGAGAAAGAGAATCCCAAGTAGGGTCTGCACTGCCAGCACAGAGCCCGGTGCGGGGCTTGAACCCACAAAGCCATAAGGTCAGGAGCTGAGCCGAAACCGACAGTCAGACACTTAACCGACTAAGCCACTCAGGCACCCCAACACTTTGTAGATCTAAAATGAGGACAGTTAAGATAGATCAGTGTCATGGGCTTTGTCCCTCAGAGGTGAATAAAAAGGTCAGAAGTATGCTTGGCTACAAGTTGAATTTTATCATTCTTACCTTATTCCAAGACTTTCAAGATCAGACTCATTAAGATGGAGCAGTATTGAACCTGTGATTTTATTTCCTTTAGAAGAAAAGGGAGAAAAAAAGATGAATGGTTTCAACAATTATACCATATGCTTTTTTGTTTCTTTTAATTTGGATTCACCAGATTTACCCAAATCAACATTTACTAAACCACCCACTACAGGTAATGGACTGTGTAAAAACCACTTTCATTTGCCACTTGGAAAGTCTTTTTCTCCACATGGGGCTCAAACCCACAACCCCCAGACCAAAAGTCACATATCCTACAGACTGAGCCAGTCAGGCACCCCTCTCAATTGGACAGTCTTCATTTTAATTAGATAACTACACTGACAGGCTATTTTTGATAAATCAAGTAAAAACTTTTAAATTATTTGAATGACTTATTTGTGAGGAAGTCCAGCAGCAAAACCAGTGGCTTCCTTCTAAAATAGGTGAGGTTTGGCATGGGGGGAGGAAAGGAAACTTAAATCTATTGTTCTTAGAATAGTCAGGTCAAAACCATAGCCTGAAGGGTGCCAAGTGTTGATTGAGTTCTAAAACCTCCAAGGAGGGGCTTGACTCCCGGATCTTGGAGATGTGAGTTTGAGCCCCACACTGGGTGTACAAATTACTTAAACAATAAAAGACTTAAAAAAAAAAAAACCTCCAAGAAAAGCACATAATACTGTGTTTTGAAATATATATACGTTTATTTTTCTTTCTCTCACTATATAATTAATTTTACTCCTTCCTGACCTCAGATTCCACAATTCTGGACTATGTTCAAACAAACAAAAATCTTTTTTTTTTTTTAAGTTTATTTATTTTGAGAGAGGAAGAGCACTCATGAGTAGGGGAGGGTCAGAGAGAGAGAGAGAGAGAGAGGGAGGGAGAATCCCAAGCACGCTCCACACTAACAGCCTGACTCAGGGCTCAACCCCACCCTTGATGATCTTTGATGAGAACACTTGTTGAGGTATAGCTGGCATGAATTCTGGAGCCCAAAGACAAAATCTTAACATTCAGTTCTGCTTTTTTTCCAGTTGTATGACCTTTAGAAAGTTACTTAACATCTTTAGACCTCAAACACATCATCTGTAAACAAAACAGGGATCACAGCCTCTAAATTTCAGGGCTTCAGGGGGCCTGGGTGGCTCAGTCAGTTAAGCATCTGACTTTGGCTCAGGTCATGATCTCGAGGTCTGTGAGTTGGAGCCCCATGTCAGGCTCTGTGCTGACAGCTCAGAGCCTGGAGCCTGCTTCAGATTCTGTGTCTCCTCTCTCCGCCCCACCCCACTCGTGCTCTGTATCTCTCTCTCTCTCTCAAAAAAAATATTAAAAATAAATAAATAAATAAATTAATTAATTAATTTCAGGGTTCCTGTGAGACTGTATTCCATAATGAGGAGAGGGACCCAATACCTTGTTTTGCCAAATAAAAGCAAACCCAGACTAAGACAGGGATTAGAAAGGAAGACTATTACAACAGGGAGAATGTTGTGACCTCAGAAATCTCCAAGTGGTTCAAAATGAAACAGAAAAAAGTGTTGCTGTTTTTTTTCATAGGGTAAAGGAAGTGATCCCAGTGGGGTCTGACAGGACAGTATCCTGCTATGCTCAGCTGGTTACTGGAGAGGCTGATGATGGGGCATTCCACTTTTTTAGTGCTTGTTCAGGTTTGGGGACAAGCAAGATTTCAGGGCCTTCTAGGAGAGAGAGAAGGCTGACTAAAGTTTTGGTCAAGACAAAGCAGACGGTTAAGAAATGAGCATTTGTTGCGGCACCTGGCTGGCTCAGTCAGCAGAGCATTGGACTCTGGATCTCAGGGTTGTAAGTTCGAGCCCCATCCTCGGTGTACAGATTACTTAAAAATAAAAAATCTTAAAAAAAAGAAAAAAGAGGGGCACCTGGGTGGCTCAGTCGGTTAAGCGGCCGACTTCGGCTCAGGTCATGATCTCGCGATCTTGTGAGTTCGAGCCCCGCGTCGGGCTCTGTGCTGACAGCTCACAGCCTGGAGCCTGTTTCAGATTCTGTGTCTCCCTCTCTCTCTGACCCTCCCCCGTTCATGCTCTGTCTCTCTGTCTCAAAAATAAATAAATGTTTAAAAAAAAATTTAAAAAGAAAAAAGAAAGAAAAAAGAAATGAGCAATTGTGAATGTAAGGTCAGTTTTTACCAATTAAAGCAAGTAGTGAGTTCTGCTAGCATTTGACTGTAGGTTCAAGAGATCATTCTGAAGGTTGATGACTTAATCTACAGAACACCAAAAACAAAAACAAAAACAAAATCTATAGAACACCACTGAAAGAGAAAGCCAACAACATAGTCCATCATATTTTGGAGACAGAAAATATAAAACTACTTCATCCCCACCTAGTTGCTATTCAGAGAAAACTTCTGAGTGCAGGCCAACCAAAGGGGGGGAGGAGAAAAAAGTACCATTTCCCACACCATCAAGCTGTTTTTTAAGTCTTCAAACACTAAGTCCCTCCGACCCTAGACAAACAGGACTCCACCCTATAACTGCAAAAATTTATTAAACTTACAAATGGGTAAGACAGAGAGAGGTTAAGCTTCCCATCCGTTAGGGCAAGTTTAGATCTCAACTGGATGGATGCTTGAACTGGAGCCAGTTGCTTAAAACTCACAACCCACACATTTGCCCCATGTGATGTGGCCAAGTTGTGGGCTGCTGGGAGTCCGGTGGTCAGCTCAGCACTCCCAGTGTCATTCAGATTTAACTAGGCAAACTGATTTTGGAGACCAAAACAGAATCATTACCAAGCTCTACAAGGGTGGTCAACCAACATGCACTGAGCCCTGCTGGCATGCTACGGTAAGGCAATGGGGATGCAGGGATTCACAGAGCATGTGCCCTCCCCCTTAGGAAAACCCCGAGTTGAGGGGCCAAGGGAGGAAACTTAAACTTGAAAGCAAAACACACTCCAAGTGCTCAAGGAGCTGCAGGAGCACAGAGGGGGTCTCCCGAGCCCCGCGAGTCTGAATGACAGCGCCCCTCCGACTACGGTCTGGGGAAAACGTTCTTCTAAGTCACAACAGGGACCGGAGTCTCGCCTGCCCCGCGCTGGGGTGACCAGTTCCCGAAGAAACCCACCAGCCTCACACCAGGTGCCTCACCCAAGTTCACAATCCTCAAAGTCGGCTTCCCCCCCTGCGGGTCCCCAGCCCCAGACGCCC